GTGTTAAAGGTGCCGCTGGACTCGGACTTTGTTCTGCCGCTTCAGGCCAACAGGGCTGACCACCTGAATCTGTCTCGTAAGGATGTGGCTGTCCTCTAGAGAACAGATCCAGATGGTCAGCCGTGTTGGTCTGAAGCAGTAGAACAAATTTAGAGTCCAGTGGCACCTTCATTCATTCATTCATTCATTCATTCATTCATTCATTCATTCATTCATTCATTCATTCATTCATTCATTCATTCATTCATTCATTCATTCATTCATTCATTCATTCATTCATTCATTCATTCATTCATTCATTCATTCATTCATTCATTCATTCATTCATTCATTCATTCATTCATTCATTCATTCATTCATTCATTCATTCATTCATTCATTCATTCATTCATTCATTCATTCATTCATTCATTCATTCATTCATTCATTCATTCATTCATTCATTCATTCATTCATTCATTCATTCATTCATTCATTCATTCATTCATTCATTCATTCATTCATTCATTCATTCATTCATTCATTCATTCATTCATTCATTCATTCATTCATTCATTCATTCATTCATTCATTCATTCATTCATTCATTCATTCATTCATTCATTCATTCATTCATTCATTCATTCATTCATTCATTCATTCATTCATTCATTCATTCATTCATTCATTCATTCATTCATTCATTCATTCATTCATTCATTCATTCATTCATTCATTCTTTAATAAAGTGTGCGTGCACACAAAAGCTCATACCTTGAATAAACTTTTGTTGGTCTTAAAGGTGCCACTGGACTCTAAATCTGTTCTCTAGAGAATAGCATAATCATCTGTTCACACCTACAGGCTCATTGTCTTGTGAACTAGAGCAAATGTGGTTGTTAGACCATCAGACTAGGATCTGGGAGAGGGAGACCCAGATTTGAACCCCCACTTTGCCATAGAAGCTTGCCAGGTGACCCTGGGCCGGTCACACACTCTCAGCATAACCTACCTCATAGGGTTGCCAGCTCCGGGTAGGGAGATTCCTGGAGATTTGGGGGGTGGAATCTGGGGAGTTTGGGGAGGGGAGAGTCTTCAGCAGGGTATAATGCCATAGAGTCCAACTTCCAAAGGCAGCCATTTTCTCCGGGGGAATTGGTCTGTGTCGTCCGGAGACCAGTTGTTAATTCTGAGAGACCTCCAGCCGCCACCTGGAGGTTGGCAATCCTAGGGGTTGGTTCTGAGGATAAAATGGAGGAGGAAGGACGATGTAAGCTGCTTTGGGTCCCCATTGGGGAGAAAGACGGGGTATAAATGAAGTAAATAAATAAATGTACACTTGGCAAAAATCTTAGCTGAATGATACGGTGGTTGACTGATTGCCTTACGCATCATATTATCAGAACTGGGCTGCCCCACTGAGGACAACGTAATATCCCCATAGCCTGTATCGTACACATTACACATGGGGGGAATCTGTGAGGAACTCATGCGGGAGGCAAAGTCCCATCCCCGCACTGGCCGGCCACTAATCACCACCTTTCTCCTCCTTCCCCCCCTCCTGGGGTTGTTGCCACCATCTCCTCTCCCCCACCCCCCAGTGTCAGCACTGCTGTCTTCTCTCTCCTGCCACTGTATTCTTCTTCATCGTTTATTGGGATTGCTAGATAATCTTCGAAATGGCTGCTGAGATTATATTCCCTAAATTGTGATTGCTGCAACATCGTTTTTTTTTTTTAAAGCCTGCTTCACCTTTTTTCCCGATTGTCAGGGGGAAATCCCCTCTCCTGTCCGTGGGTGAACCCCACTCATGGTTTTTTTAGATCCGTACATGTTCTGGATTAGATACATGATAACTGGATCTGCGGAGAGTGTGAGTTCCTGAGTTCCTTTGTACAGAGAGAGTATTCTTATTACAAGTCTTCGACATTAATTCCATTAGCGTGGGATCAGAAAACAGAAATGTGGCAGAGAAGAACCAGTTGGGGTGAGTACCTCAGGCTCCCCCTCCCAAGTATCCCTTGATATTTTTGTGTCTTTTCTGTGTGCCACTTTTCCCCACTCACAAGACAGTAACTCCCCTTATTCCTTATCCTTTGCCAGATATTTCTCTGTCAGGGGGACTAGGCAACCTAGGCACAGTCAGGGCCCGTTTGTTTACAGCCACGCTTGTGGTGCGGGTCTGCGGGAGAAGAGAATCAGCTGCAGTTTCCTTCTCCATTTGTCTGCCTCCTTTGCCCAAGCATCTGTACATCCAGGAAGACACCCAGGACTTTGTACTTCCTCCTCTGATGGGGTAGGAAGCTCCCTGCTTTGGGGGGAGAGCCGTTCCTGAACTGAGGCACACAGTGGGGGCTCGTCCAACACAAACGTAAACACTGGTATCGGTAGACTGCTTTTCCTTTCTGGGCAAGCCAGTAGCATCTTGTCATATCCAACATGAATCTAAACAAGCCATGCATCTGAACTTCTTACATTTTTTCGTGTCCCACTGTAGTTACAGCTCTATTAATGCGGAGAGACAGATCATGAGTTAACGGTTTCCCAACCTCCAGGTGGTGGCTGGAGATCTCCTGTGATTACAGCTGATCTCCAGGTGGCAGAGGTCAGTTCACCTGGAGATAGCGGCTGCTTTGGACGTTGGACTCTATGGAATTGTACCCCATTGAAGTCCCTGCCCTTCCTCAAACCCCACCCTCCTCAGGCTCCACCCCCAAAATCCCCAGGTATTTCTGAACCTGGAGCTGGCAACCCTATAAACAAGCCATGCATCTGAACTTCTTATTCTTTTCCTGTCCCGCGGCAGTTACAGCTTTACTAATTCCGAGAGACAGATCTCGATCTGCCACACCTGGGTTCCCGGAGCACTAACTCAGGTGTACATCACACTCCGGTGACATCAGGGTTCCATCAGCGTTCTCGGCATATAAGTGGATTCGATCCCCTTTTCTCACTTCCCACCTCCTCTAAAGAAGGAAACAGGCCACTGATGGGATTCGTTCTCCGCTCCAAGCCCAGTTTGATGTGTGTTGGCCGTGGAGACGGGGAATGAACGTGAAGCGGATCCTGGCAGTGTGATGTCACTGGGAAGGGAAATGCCAGCTGTGGTGGGTGTGAGAAGAAACACAGCCAGGCTGGGTTCCAATGGGCCACCTGACACTTTGAACAAACAAGCAGATTAAAAGCTATAAAACTGAAGAGCTGCCCGTTGTGTTGTTTGTTTGTTTGCTAGCACCCCCCCCCCCACTTTCCCCAGAAGTCCGCCACTTGGCCTTGGGCCCTTGTTTGCCAGACATTGTTGAGGGAGGGGAGGGGACATCCACACACACTCACACATTTGTGACATGAAAGCTGTGTACATCAATGGCCAACCTCAGGGGCACAGCGGGAACGGCAAATTATGTCCCGTTCACAGAAGTGATACTTTCAAAACAAATGTCTGTCATTTCAACCCTGTGGAACTTGCAAAGCGATGAAAGATGTTAAAAAAAACACACATCAAAATATGGTAATGATAAAATGAAGTCAGCGTGAATTGATTTTTTTCTGGTGAAGCAAACTGGCAGGCGGCCATCTTGACAGGGATAAGAGCTTTCACCAGCCGACTCCCTATAGTCTCCTTTAAAAAAAAAAAAATCAACCTGTGGCGACTTCCTACTAATTTCATTGCTCCTAGAGCAACCCTCCCAGTTTTCTGTCAGCAAGCTTTGGCAACACCTTTGAGAAATATGAGTTCATGCTCTCTCAGAGGAGCATTTGGAGGCACTTGCCCCTTGTGTGGGTTAGCTTTTACCCACTAGTGAAGAATATCAGGTGGCCTCACTGGCAAAAGGCCCACTAGACTTGCCAACCTCCAGGTGGTTCTAGCAACAGATAAAATATACACTGCAAAAACCTTATAACAAACTAATGTGTTCTATTTATAATCATTATTTAGTGAAGTGCATAGTGTATCATTATTTCATCCTAGTCAGGTAGAAATATTCATTACATTCAATAGGCAATAACATTCAGTACATACAGATTGATAACTACCAGCAGTGCTCCCTCTAAGCTGTGGAGTCTTGTGAGCAAAAATTCTACTCTGTGAACTCCTGGCATTAAAGTTGTGAGCAAGCGATTTGGCTCCTGCATAAATTAGTTTGCTCTGGAGCCATCCTTCCTGAGCTAAGACAAAAATGTGTGAGCCGGAGGCTAAAAAACTGTGAGCTAGCACACACTAACTCAGCTTAGAGGGAACACTGACTACCAGACCATTTTGCATCAGTGTTTTAAAAGTCAAGCCCCAATGGGAGTTTCCAGAACTAAAAGCCTGCTTCTCCTTGCATGAAGTCTTCCAAAATGGGGGACAGCTTTCTTAATAGTTGTATGGATGCTTTTTTTGCCGGTCCTACGAAAGACACATTATGCAGCTAACATTCATGGACGGAGTACTCCTGTCATCAATGTGTAGGGTTTTCAGCTTCCAGGTGGGGCCTGGAGATCTCCCACTTTTACTACTGATCTCCAGATAACAGACGTCAGTTCCACTGGGGGAAATGGCTGCTTTGGAGGATGGACTCTATGGCATCGTACCATACAAAGGTCCCTCCCCTCCGAAACCTCAACCTCTCTGGGCTCCCCATCCCCAAATCTCCAGGTATTTCCCAACCCAGAGCTGGCTACCCTGCACACATGGATCAAAAAAATCCACAATGGGGGACCAACCAAAGATAAAAGGAATTTTTGCCTTGGCTTCAATAAGAGAGAGAATCACAGCAACCATTTTGGGGGGTTGCTTAGCAACCACAATAAACACAATCAAGGGGCAATGGGAAAGTGAAGAAAATATCAGTAGGGGCGGGAGCACCCAAAGTGTTAGGAGAAGGGAGGAACAGGATGCAGTGGGAGGGAGAAGGAAGAAACTGAGGGGAAACGGGAGAGAGAGCTTCTTTATGGCTCCCCTGCTATAGATAAAATGGTGTTTTTACTGCTCAGGACCCATGGCATGGTTTTTTCCCTGTACCTAAACTCCTTTGGAGAGTGTTTTCCTGTCCTTATATGCCAAGACACTAGAACCGATTTCCCACAAGCTGCTGCTCAGCGCTGGCTCTTCCCTTTGCCCCAATCATACGTGTCAATTTCCCACTCGAAGCTGCGTGGCCGCATCTTGACCCACGGCTTCACCCGATTTCCCCCGCAGTTTTGTGATCCTGTTTTTTGAGGATTACGAAACTGCGGGCAAAATCGGGCAAAGCCGCAGGTAAAAATGCGGCCACGTGGCTTCGAGTGGGAAATTGACACGTACCATTGGGGCAAAGAGAGGAGCGAGTGCAGAGCAGCGGCTGTGGGAAATCGGTCTCGAGGTCTCAGATACAGAGTATAGGGCTACTAAATCTAAATTTTTAACCCACCTTTCTCCAATGTTGGACTCAAGGCAGCTTACAATGATAAAAACTTATATTAACTTATATTAATGTTACAAAATACATTTCAACAAAATATTAAAAACCTCTCAAATGATCCAATCAGCTGCCAGAAAACTTAAACAAAAGTCTAGCTCTAAGTCAGTAGCTGTCAACAGAAACTCTTACAACTGGAGTAATAGCTTCAGTTTAGAGCTTTACCTGAGGTAAAGTAAAGGAAAAGGCTTCCCTTGCTCAAAAGTCAGTCGAATCCAACTCCAGGGATGCGGTGCTCATCTCCGTTTCCAAGCCGAAGAGCCAGCGCTGTCCAAAGACATTTCCATGGTCATGTGGCCGGCAGTACCAAGTTAGAACTGAGGTACCAAGTTCTAATTCTGCCACCTTTCGGTCTCTAGCCATTTAACTGTTCCTCAAAGGTCACTGTAGAGTTTTTCTTCTTCTTGGTAGTTTAGTCCTGTTGTAGACCTATCCCCCCCCCGTTTATATTCAGAAATTTAGCAGAACTTGCCCTTTTGTAGTGTTTGGGGATCTAGCTGTTCAACGTATATAGTCACCAAGTGTTTTTTTAAGGCAGTTTTAACTGCAAGGGAGCTCCTAACTAGATCCTTGAGCAATACAGCTGAGAGACAAACACGCACACAGAGATAAATTTATGATACGTTAGGGTTGCCAAACTCCAGGTAGTAGACAATGAAGAAAACAGCTGTGATGTAGCATTATGAAAATATATATTTAAACTGCTATTTTGCAGTGAGTAGTATTTCTTCAACAGGTAATCAAGATGTACGCACACACACAACGGAATTTGCATATATTCCCATTTCACATGACCGCTTTATCTCAGTGTGCTGCGTGAATAACATTAGTTTACACGTCATGTGAAACGGGAATATATGCAAATTCTGTTGTGTGCGCGCGTACGTCTTGATTACCTGTTGAAGAAATACTACTCACTGCAAAATAGCAGCTTAAATATATATTTTTATAATGCTACATCACGGCTGTTTTCTTCATTGTCTGCATCCTTCCCGTGATCTCTCTGTTGTTTCTACACAAACTCCTGGTAGTGGCTGGCGATCGTCCCAGAACTACAACTGGCCTACAGACAATAGCGATCAGTTCCCCTGAAGAAAATGGCTGCTTTGGAAGGTGGACTCCATGGCATTATACCCTGCTGAGGTCCCTCCCCTCCCCAAATGCCACCCTCCTCAGGCTCCACCTCTAAATCTCCAGGTATTTTTCAACCCAGAACTGTCAACCCTTGAATACATGCAGCTGAAGAATCACAATATCTGCATCATGGGGTCGACAGGCCAAATAAAAACAGAGAATGCAATCAAGAAGCTTTGCATTTCCTCCTCTCCTCAACATTCTCTAAACGTGAAGGCAGAGAAATGCTGGAGACTGATTTGGACCAATTCCCAAGTAAAGAATTTCCAGAACCATCCCATTCTGAACAGAAATTTCACACAAGAGCTGCGCCGCGGTCGCGCCTCCCTTTGCCCCGCTTCTATTGGTCAATTTCCCACTCGAAGCCGCGCGGCTGCATTTTGACCCGCAACTTCACCCGATTTCCCCCATGGTTTTGTGATCCTGTTTTTTGAGGATCACGAAACTGCGGGGAAAATCGGGCGAAGCCGCAGGTCAAAATGCGGCGGCGCAGCTTCGACTGGGAAATTGACCAATAGAAGCGGGGCAAAGGGAGGCGCGACCGCGGCACAGCTCTTGTGTGAAATCGGTCTCGCTGTTTTGCATGAAGCGTGTGTTTGTGTGTTTCTCTATTTGTCTGTCTCTTAACCTTGGGGCTCCCAGCTCTTACTCCAGGGTTGGTTATTTCTCTTGTATCCTAGGCTGGGATGGGAGTCTGGAGTTGAAGACCTGGCAGCAAGAATGTTGAAAGTTTGCCCACGGGACAGGATCTCTGCACAAGAGGCACTCGTCCATCACTTCTTCAGTTCTCTGCCCTCTCAGCTATACCAGCTTTCTGACCGTACGTAGTACCTTTTCCCCCACTTTAACTGCAAGGGTGTCTCAACATACTTACTGTAAGTGGTTTGTTGTTTTTTTTAAATTAAATTTCTTTCTTTCAACCCCCCCCCCCAAACCAAACAGAAAAAAAGAACAAGGGGGAAAAAACTGATAAAATCATAGAATCCCAGAGTTGGAAGGGGCCATACAGGCCATGTAGTCCAACCCCCTGCTAAATGCAGGATCAGCCTAGACTCTAGAGCATCCCTGACAAGTGTTTGTCCAGCTGCTGTTTAAGGACTTCCAGTGAGGGGGAGCTCAGCATCTCCCTAGGCAGCTGACTCCACCATTGCACAACTCTTACAGTAAAAAAAGTTTTTTCTAAGATCCAGCTGGTACTTTCCCACCGCCCTTAGTTTCAACCCATTACGGTGAGTCCTCTCCTCTGCTGCCCACAGGAACAGCTCCCTGCCCTCCTCTCCGTGACAGCCCTTCAGATACTTCAAGAGAGCCATTGTCCCCCCTCAGCCTCCTCTTCTCCAGACTAAACATTCCCAAGTCCCTCAGCCTTTCCTCATAGGACTTGGTCTTAAAATCCAGGAATTAACTAAAGTTTTTAAAAAAGGAATATATATATTGTGTGTGTATACATGCACATGTGCGCATGTATACACACATTCACAAAGTAGAGACAAAAATATAACAACAGTGGTGGCAGATCTACACATATGTTTCTATGAGTGGTTTCCAAATATCTAATGATAAGTCCGTACGTGATTGTTGTCTATATGCCATGCATTCAAATATTGGCAGAGTTCTAAGGCTCTCAATCCATTGGTTTATTGGAGGGGGGCTTTTATTTTTCCAGTGCCGTAATACGAGTCTTTTAGCTGCAGTAAGGGAACAGAGGGTCCATTTTCATTGACCATCGGTCAGCCTCAAAGTGACAGGCAGATAGTTTAGGGTTATCATATTTTGAAGAGCAAAAAAGGACACATTTCCTGACTGACTACTTCAGACGTGAGCACTATGACAAATCTCATTTTAAATACCCCTACTATTTAAGCTGCAATAATTGCTATGAACTAGGAATATTCCTAACCTTCCAACACAAAAAGAGGACATTTTTATCTGTTTTTTAAAAAGAGCTCAAAAGAGGATGGACACCAAAAAAAGATGACATGTCCTCTAAAAAGAGGACATCTGGTAACCCTAAGATAGTTTAAAAGTACATAAGAATCCTCAAAAGTCAGTTAACATTCTAATACAAAATTACATGAGTAATAATTTCTTCCCAGAAAAACTGAATGACGGGACACACCCAAAGCATATGTTTAAGGTCCATAATCTGTGAGTTGCAACACCAACAACTTCCTGTAAGTTGTTTTGTTAAAACACTCTGATGAAAACACTATAAATACACACAGAGAAGTTCTTATAAGGTACAGCTACTTGATCATTTCCCATCCTTGTAATGTTTTTGCCACTATAAAGCTGGGCGGGGGGGTATCAACGGACCTCATCATTAGTTTAGTAACATATTGTAAAAGTAACAGCCTATTCAAATGTGCAGATGGGCACATAGTACAGTCTCCGTACAAGAACACATTCCTTATTATACTCCACTGAGGATGAAAAATAGGAATGGGCACAAATTGGAAAGATGCGGTTCATATCAGTTCGTGGTTTGTGTCTGAACCACAAACTGAACCATGAACTGAATCAAACCAGAAAGTTCATTTGTGAACTAAACCGGTTTGTGGCCCTGCAGTGCACACCCGGTTGAAAGGAACTGCAGTCCCTTTAAATGGGATTTGCAGAAATCCTAAAAAAAACATCTGAGCAGTGAGGAGCACCATGCTCCCAATGCTCAGCTGTTTTGTGCTTTCTTGTGCAGTCCCTTTAAATTTTAAAGCCTGAGTGGCGGGGAGCAGGCTTCTGCTTTCCACTCAGCTGTTTTCCACTCAGCTGTATGTTTTTCAGGCTTTTGGGTCTTTAAAGGGACCACACAAGAAGTTCCGAAACAGCTGAGTGGCAGGGAGCAGTTATGACACAGTCACTGCTGAGGGCTTGAAGCACAATCCTATGCACGGTTACGCCAGCCAGAGCCCATTTAAATCAGCTGCACTGGGGCAATCCTAAACAGAACAATCCCCTTCGGAGTCCATCGAAGTCAACAAACTTTTTTTTTTTGCCCTCAAGTCACTGCTGACTTATGGTGACCCCTAGTGAGGCAAGAGGCAAAAAAAAAAAGAGGCAAAAAATTTTTCAAGGCAAGAGACGTTCAGAGGCGGTTTGCCGTTGCCTGCCTCTGCATCATGCCCCTGGTATTCCTTGGAGGTCTCCCATCCAAATACTGATCAGGGCTGACCCTGCTTAGCTTCCGAGATTTGACAAGATCAGGCTAGTCTGTGACCATTTCCGGAGTGGTAAAACTGCCTTCATTGACGTTTTTAAAACTGCACATTATGTGAAATCTTCTAGAGTAGATTTTTCCTCACCAGGTGCAAAACTGAAGTTTTCTCCTTCTCACCCTCCTGTGTTTTCAGAACTTCATAAAACGGGGGGTTCTGAAAATGCGGGGTAAAAAGGAGAAAACGTTGGGTTTGCGCCTGGTGAGGAAAAATCTGCTGTGGAAAATTTCACATCATGCACAGTTTTAAAAACGTCAGTGCAAGGGATTTCACTACTGTGGAAATGGTCTCAGCTACCCAGATCAGGGCTGAATGAACTTAGAAGGGGGTAACTCTGCTTAGGACTGAACTGTTCGTTAACTTGAGCTGGGCATCTTCAGAATACTGATGACACCACATCCCAAAACTCCAGCACATTTTAAAAAAATAATATGACAAATGTTAGAAGCACAGAGGACAATACTGAGTCTCGTCGTACTCTGCTTTTCCCCTCAGCCAAGCTCTGTTAGCAGGAATTGGGCTCAGCTTAGAAGAAGAGATTGGATTTATACCCCGCCCTTCACTCAGAGTCTCAGAGCGGCTTACAAACTCCTTTCCCTTCTCCTCCCCACAACAGACACCCTGTGGGGTAGGTGGGGCTGAGAGAGCTCTTTCGAGGACTGCTCTTGAGAGAACAGCTCTGAGAGAACTGTGACTGACCCAAGGTCACATCAGCAGGTGCAAGTGGAGGAGTGGGGAATCAAACCCGGTTCTCCCAGATTAGAGTCCACGCACTTAACCACCACACCAAACTGACTTAGAACTGCCAACTCTGGGTTCGGAAATTCCCGGAGATTTGGGGGGTGGAGCCTGGGGAGGGTGGAATTTGAGGAGGGCAGGGACCCCAAAGAACCTGCTGCCATAGAGTTCACCCTCCAAAGTAGCCATTTTCTCGAGGGGTACCAACCTGTGTGGTCTGGAGATCAGTTGTAAATCCAGGAGCTCTCCAGGCTCCATAGGGTTGCCAGCTTGGTGTTGGGAAATAATAGGAGATTGGAGGGGAGGGGTTGAGCCTAAGGAGGACAGAGTTTGGGGAGAGGAGGGACCTCAGTGGAGTATAAAGCCACAGAGTCCACCCTCCAAAGCAGCCCTTTTCTCCAGGGAAACTGATCTTGGTTGTCTGGAGATACGTTATAATAATGGGAGGTCTCCAGGTTCCACCTGGAGGTTGACAACCCTAACCTCCACCTGGAGGTTGATGCCCCTAGCTCAGTTTGGGAAATATGCTTGAGAGGGGCTGCAGAGAAGTAACCAGCAGGCAGGGGAGGGTTCTGCCCCTCCCCCAGCCACCTTTTGCGGATCAGAGTGGACCACCATTACTTGACCGGGGCAGATCCGAAGCTCTAAACCAGGGGGTGTCAAACATAAGGCCCGGGGGCCGGAACTGGCCCGTCCAGGACTGTTATGCGGCCCACAAGCAGCTAGTGCAAGGGAGGGAAACAAGAGACGGCTGGGGGTGGGAGTGGGTGGAGCCACTCCAATCGTGGGTTAAAAAGGGTGGAACAACCCCATCTGCAGCAGTCAAGCAGTGTGGGAGCGTCTGCCCAGGGTCTGCACCGCTGGCTCTCCAGTCCGCCCATGTGGATTTTCCTCTGCACCCCCCCTCCCAGCCCATGGCATCTAGCAGTGAGGATACAACAACTCGGAACTTAGCAGCTGCTGTCCTTTATACAGTGTATATCCTTGGTACCCGGCATTACATTTTATGGCACACAGGGCCCAAAAGTGACACTCATGTCAGATCCGAAGGCCCTCATAACAAAAGAGTTTGACACCTCTGCTCTAAACACAGCATTGTGCCTGTTTTGATTGTCGGTGGCATGCCCCGTGAGAAGAGCAAGACTGCAAAACCCACATTCCTTTTCTGCCCAGCCAGCCAGCCACAGAGCATGGCGTCTACTTTGACACTTTTTTAGAAAATTGAAATGATGGAATCTCGCAGGAGGGGGGGGAAGGGGGGAGGACTCACAGCAGGAGGGGAGTTGGCTTTTCTTTATACACACAGGTTTTTTTCCATGCCGAGTTTAAATTATGCCTGATAAAAGGAGTTTCCTGGATGTTTCAGTTCTTTCAAACCCTCCCGGCTTCCTCCCAATTAAATGAGGTTTGTCAAAGCCACAGGGCTCTGCCGCTGCCGGAGAGGCAGAGAAGCACTTCCTGCGGTGACATCTCCAATCCCCAAAGGGGGAGATGAAAGTGGCCATGCCAAAAAAGACAGAGAAGGGAGAGAGAGAGTGTGTGGGAAAATAAAACAGGTACAGAGACAGAGAGGCAGAAGGAGAAAGTGGCGGGGGGGGGGGGGGGGGGCCCGGGGAAGGAAGGCACCAGATTGGCACACGTCTCTGTCACTCTGCAGGAGGAGACGGGTCATTTCCATTTGAGGGATTTATTCCCTGTCCCTTGCGTTTGGGTATTAACACATTGGTCTCCCTCCCCTAAGAAAAATGACAGCTGATATTTCACACCCTTGCAACCAGTGGGGCCTCTTGAACGGGAAGGGACATCGTGTTATCATGGCAACCGACCTTCTGCAAAAACAAATCAAAGCCTTTTAGGCAGAAATGGTTGT